AAATTTCATAACTCTGTTCAGAAACGTTCTAGAACCACTAATAACTGTGCTCAAATATATCGAGCGTGATGCTATCAGCAGTTCAGCGTTCGAATCTAGAGAGAACTATCTTATTCTGATTATCAACATTCCGCTGAATGACTCCATCGTGGATAAGTGGCCATCGACATATACTGCGCGCGTTAGCGTGCATAGCCAAACTGGTATATAATAAGCCTATTTTAATTTGTGTTTGTGACATGTGAGAACTAAGACAAAAGAACCGAACAAAATATATAATGTTTAACAGTACGTTTATGTAAATAATGTGTTTGGGCCGCTACGAAAAATGTGTTCCTACGTCCAGTAGAAGTTGCGGTCAAAAGCCTTCAACTACTTGCGCTTTATCAAGGCTAGTACAATGAATTTTTGAAACTGGAGCACTTGTATGCTAACGATTTTGAGGTGGAACTAAGCTAAATTATATAATTTCCCATCAGAAATATGAATGTAAGATGATTCTGCATGGTATTATAGGCGACACATCAATGGCGATGATCAGCAACAAGATGAAGCTATACCTGCAAAGAAGCTTCGTGGAGGGTCACGTCAGCCCTCAAATGTAGAGCTACTTAAGGTATTTTTTCATTTCTTCTGAAAATATCATTCCTTTCGTCGCGCACGAACACATGAACATATGCGAATTGTGTTTTACATCCACGCCTCGTTTTTGTGGTAAGGGCAAGTCTTGCAGGTTGTGAGACAGGGTGAAGCAAGAGAGCTTGGATGAGATTGAGCTTGGACAACGTTCTACTCTTCCCATTCCAATAATGAGAAGGCGTCGTCCACTTATACTTCCCTTTATACCGCGTGAACTTGAACGAATGAATATTAGTCATGTTAAGCATAAGTCCAACCACAATCTGCTGTACCTGGTCAATATTCGTGCTAATTGATTTGTGTAGTTTACGATCGCAGTAAGTTAGGGTAAGGGATGAAGTTTTGGGCGTTGATCAATCCTGCCTGAGAGATGCCCCCACGCATTTGACTTCCAATCAGAATCATAATAGCGTACTGAATGCGTATGTGGCCGCTACAATGACTTTCGGTCAGCCGATGCACAAGTCAGTGCTTTTTCCTCCCAGACTAGTCTTGTACCAATTAACCGACCCCGGAAGAATGGAGTGCTGTGTTGGCCTGGGCAGATATAGGTTGATATAGAATTCGAACCCATGACCATGCCTGTGTGAAGTGCGCCACATGCCACTGCACCACCTCCGTCCTCTTGTCTTTTCGTTTCAGTTATAGATTAGCGTCTCCCTTTTCACTCACCATTCATTGACGTTATGTCATTTATAAAGGGTCTGAACAACCGTTTCCCTGGAGCTGATATTACCTGGAACTGTATCCCGTTACATTACGATTTAAGAAGGTATAGATGATCAAAGATACGAAGTTAGTTCATAAATAAGCCAATATTCAATTGTGTCTCTGCCGCGCTCGCGAAGTTGTTTTTCGTGAATTAGAACTTAGCTAGTCTTGATTCGGTTCCAAGACGGCCGCATTTTGGCAAAAACTTGGGGTTGGAATCGGGCTGAAAAGTGTGAAGGAGGATAAGCCTCCGCAAGGATTGCTCTAGAAAGGCGGAGCTTGCATGAAGAACATGTAATTTACTCTCAAGTGAATTTGAACTCTGCACAATAGGTGGGCAGGGGAACTGTTTCAGTAAAGTACTTGTAGTTTGCCGCAGGCGCCACTATTATATAGAACTCCAAACCGTTGCCAAATTTTGGATATTGCTAGAACTAATGTTTGAAAAAGGCATCTCGATTTCAACACCGTTCAAGTTAAAGAAGGTGAAGAAACTGGTTTCAGGACAAAGGCTATGAATTGGGAACAAAATTCCATGTTATTATTACTTGGCTACGGATTTAATTTGATTATATTATGTGTAGCCNAAACTCTAAGCTCTGTTACCGGTCTCTCACATTGTTATCAAACCACCTGGAGTTACTATTGAGAAATCCGATAGACGTATTTCTTCAACTTAGTAGTTGACTTTTATCTCCGTCGTGTATCTGATCTATTACTCAGAAGCAAGCCGACATGATGTGGGAACTGCGCAGCGGGTTCAGAGACCATCTTACAAAGAATGAAATGGTAGAGTTGCTTTCCTCCAACAATCTCAGTCCACCATCTGGTGAAAGTAAGGTATGTTTGCTGACGAGTGTTCCTATTTTTATCGTAATTCTTCATATGATTGTAGATTCTTGACTACCTCGTGGACTCTGCCATGTTTGGCTGCTGCAAGCGATGTCCGAAATGTGGGGGTGAGCTCAAGTACAGGTTCGTTAACTTTAGATTACCCTGCAAATTAAGGAACAATGCTCACTTGATTGGTTTTTTGAATTCTTCTGTACCCTTACTCATTCATGATGAAACTGCTTTACCAATGCAATGTTCGTTCGCAAAAATAGGTGTTTTTACCCCTCTGCTACATCGCTGTAAGGTGATATTTCAGTTCGTCGCTGATGACATATCGGTGTACTGGACAGCTCTCAGAGTACACAAAATGTACCTATCGAAATGATAACCCTGATCGAGAGAAGTTCGTCATACCGAAAGATATGAAGGAAAATTCTTATCTCAAAAAGCTCAAAGTTAACGTAAGTATTGTATCTAATGCGAAGTGATAGTAATCCACACGATGTAATTCAGGCTCGTAGGTCCACAAATAGAAAAGCTTATCTTTTGATTTCCTGTCACCTTTGGATTGTCCTTTCTTTAACTTTTCCCACACTTCAACTATGAGACACCTATATCCTTTGATTTCAGCTCGTGGCAAAGCGTGTGTATAACGAGTTAGCGGCCCAGGAACCCATTGTGGAGTAAGTTTTTATGTGAAATTCGTTGGCGACATTCTCTCCACTAGGGATTCGGAATACTACACAGTCCCTTTCAGTCATTCTGACATGTTCAAGCGTTTTGGGTCTCGTGGTATGACAAATGCCGCAGCTGGAGATGCAGGCGAAAAAAGCATGGGAGGTCGGTTCACGTCTGAGACAAAATGTATCAAAACTTGCCTAGCTTGTAGTTCATATGTTGATACTATAAGATTATCTGCTTCATTCTCTATGACTCGTTTACAATACAATTTTTTATGCAAGTTAGTTCTGTAGGATCTCAAAACTTTTTCTTCAGCTTTGATGTATCCTTTTTTCACATTTTGCAGTTGGCTCTGGGATATCGAAACAGCTCGTGAAAGGAGGCACGGTCGTGGATCAAGAGTGCGAGTATTCAGAAGTTTCACATGTTCATCGCGACAGTAATGGTATACCACGCCTTGTCTTCTCCTGGCAAGAGTGTGGATGATTGTTATTGTAGGATCTCTCTATGCTGTCGTTCTCGGAAGCGTGGACCTGCAGTCCAATAGGAACTCCTATTACAAAATACAGCTACTCAAGCACGACACTAAGCCAACGTAAACTCCTATATGCTCATAATTGAATTGAGACAATATTTACCTTAAGATGAGCTTTCCAGTTTCTATCTATTCCGTTCTTGGGGTCGCGTTGGAACAGTTATTGGTGGTACGAGAACCGAATCTTTTCGTGATGAAGGGAGTGCCACAGAAGCGTTTGAACGGTTTGTAATTTTTAATTCTTGATTTTCGAACCAAATCTGCGTTTTTCATCGCCTGTAACGATGTTGTGCTCTCCTCTTCAGGGAATATAGACATTACTTGCGCTATTTCATCTCCATGATTCTAACGGGTTTCGAACTTTGTTTGACGAGATTATGGACATTAATCATGGCTGGGATTGACGTTCTGTTCGCAACGAGGGAACAAGATTCATGCATCTCTGGAAAACTGTCCTTAAAATCAGTTTCTCAACAACAAATGGAAAAACATTCTTTTTCAAGAAAAGTCCTTTTAGCTTCAGAAAACTACAGTCACTGTTAGAACTGTTCCCACGTAGCAGGACTGCTGAAGCTTTTTAAGGTCTTTTGAAAGGGGTTCAGATTTTCATGACAATTCTAGAACGTCAATTCAAGAGTCATATTTGAAGCTTGCTAGAGTGGACTGAGCCACTAAATGAAACAATAAATGTTTTCTACAGGGCCTAAATAATAAATGCCTTCTACACGAACTAGTATAACCAAAATCTCTGTTTTATCTTGTTGCATTTCTTAATATCGATTGCAAAACTTTTTGGTTTTACGACATAAAATTTTATAGGCAAGCCACAAAATGGGCACGACTGTTGACGCAGGCTCTTGTTTTTTTCTCTAGCTCTTCTTCCATTCGAAAATTTCACTAATCTCAGTTGATTACCAAAACTCAACGACTTATGCATAATTTTGGGTGGAATTTAAGTTTTCAAAGCTTATTTCAGACTTTTTCTTGAAAAATCGGGTAATGAGTGGAAGCAGAAGCACCGTTTCAAAAAGCTGCCAGGTCGTATGGATCTAGTGGAAACCGACTTCAGTGAACTTGTATGTGTTACTCAATTTAGTATCTTATAACTTTAGGTTGACTGCCACAAACAGTGGCCCACCAAAAACTGGTCTGACAGAAAAATTCTCGATGAAATTGCACGACTCTTCCCTCAGCATGTGACGCAGCCCGTTTTTCATCCATTTGAAAGACCGTAATCGCTCTGTATAATCAAGTTGACATCTTTGTAGTCCATCCCGTGTCAAGAAAGCATAAGCCTTTATTAATACTCAGGAGCTCTTTTCTGACATGAACACTGTCCCCCTCTTGAGCTCTTTGATTTATACTATGCATAGTGGCTCATAAACAGTTTCACGATCACTGTTAGGCGTTGGGAGATTACGGAGAACGCGACCAAATAGTCATGTTGTTAGGACTAATTGTTTTGACGCTATCGTGACCCCTAGTTGCTATTCTTCGCACTTTTGTCAGGGTATATGTAGTTCCTATTTTATCGCTTTTTATAAATGCGATTTTTTCTGATGAAGACTGTACTTGATACATCGGTGGGAGCTTGAGATCAATCGTTTTTTTAAATTATGTCTTGTCATCGTCAACCCCTGTTTAGGTAGCTGCAAAGCCCTCCAGTGTAGTCCCTGGCTCTAAGACCACCCTACATCCTGCCATCAGAGATATTCTACTCATGATATTCGATAAGGAGCAAATGGAAAGCGCAATGCAGAGTTTCCAAGTATGTTTCCACTAAGAAGCTTTTTATTTGTAGCTCGAAAATGTGAAAGTCACTACGTTTTTTGCAGCTCGACCTTGACAAGATGCCACTAGGAAAGCTCTCTAAGAAGCAAATTACTAATGCCTTCGCGGTTCTGACTGACCTACAAGCGGTAAGCAACTTCTACTTTGTTTTTTCATTTTATGTTGATAATAAGAGGATGTTAAAGATTTTGGCGGAGAAAGCGGATGCCGACAAGATTCTCGACGCAACTAACCGTTTCTACACGCTCATACCTCACAGTTTTGGAATGGCTAAACCCACACTATTGAACTCCACAGCCATAATCAAGGCAAGCCTTCTTTTTGCTTTTCATAAACGAAACGTTCTGGTTCAGCATTTGAGAACGATGTGTTTCTTAGGAAAAGTGTGACATGTTGGGTTCACTTCTGGAGATTCAAATCGCGTACGAGGTTATCAAGCAGGAGGAGGATGAAGATGATGCTACACGTGATCCAGTTGATATTCACTATGAGAAACTCAAATGCAAAATGGAGGTAGATTAATTGTGATTTCTCTAAACTTCAAACTTCATATTGTTCTTATAAACAGGCCGTCGACCACGATTCACCCGAATTCGAGCGGGTCAAGCTGTATGTGGAAAATACTCATGGCGAAACACACACCTTGTTCAAATTGGAAGTTGTTGATGTGAGATGGTGTTTGCATGAGCGGATATATTGGGACGTGGCTTTGTATACCCATTTTTCTAGGTTATCCGTCTCGATCGGGAAGGTGAGGCTAAGAAGTTCAAGGCGGACATCGGTAACCGCCGTCTTCTGTGGCATGGATCAGGCACGGCGAATTACGGTGGAATTCTATCTCAAGGTTTACGTATTGCTCCCCCTGAAGCGCCAGTGGTCAGTTTTTTTTTTGGTTTAATCCAGACGAAGCAAGCGGCAGAGATTGACCATAAAGGGGACTATTACAGTCACGTGTCTTAGTGCTCTTTTGATGCTTGAAATTTCTTGCAGACTGGCTACATGTTCGGAAAAGGTGTCTACTTTGCCGATATGGCATCCAAATCAGCCAATTACTGCAGGGTTAGTCCCAAAAATGTGTTCGCATGGTTAGTTGCCTTACTTTCCAACGCGCCAGTTAAGGTTTTCGACGACAATGCGGATGGTCTCATGCTACTGTGCGATGTTGCCCTGGGGAAGGTGAAAGAAGAGATCAATGCTGTAGATCATTCCTTGAAGACTATCAAGGGCTACAACAGTGTGCAGGGTATGTCATGCTTTGTTTTCTCTTACAACATTATACTAAGATTATGCGAATCTCTGCCTTTTAGGTTTGGGAGGAACGGAACCTGACCCTTCGCAATTAACTATGTGTGAGGAAGGGTATTCAGTCAACACTGCGAAACCAGTTAAAACAGAAAGCGCCAAAAAGCGTACCCTGCTCTACAATGAGTGAGTCCTTTTTCTTTGATAAACATTCTATCTACAGAACTGGTGAGTTTCAGGTACATCGTCTACGACGTGGATCAGATTCTGATGCGTTATCTCGTCCGTACAAAGTTCAAGATGACTACCCTTGCATAAGCATCTCAAAAATTTTCGGACGACCAGATTTTGAAGTTTTGAGACCGATCTCATTTCCAATGGATTGCCGTTTCTATGTCAGTTGAAATTGCCTAGGTTCACCTACTTTTTTACTAACCATGCTTGACTTACCCTGCAGTATGAGAGCTCTTCGCTATTTACAGGAATGACGTAGTTACTGCAATCCCTTGTACAATTGAAGATGAGTTTAAAAGGGATTTTGTTAATGAAATCCATTTCTAACTCCCTACAACCATTAAACTGTAAATTTAGCCTGATTGGTAATGCTCGTTGTCCCCTGCTGCAATATACTTACCACCCCTTAAAAATAAATTTCGCGCCAGTACTCCTGGACTTAACTTGTAGCTGCCTCGAACAGTCAAAACACCCGGCGTGTGACTTGGGTATTAATTGGCAGAGATCAATATTCGGATTGCAAAAGTTTCGCTGGATGTGGAGGTAAATCCCCTCAGATGTGACGGGATTTGACTTGTGTAGAAAAATTTTCTGAGATGGTTCGAGTTGGTTTGCGCTGCTTCGGTTGGACTTCAAAAGTTTCCGCTCAGATTTTTCTCCATCCGGGTAGAGGGGGTGTTTAGCGTCGGCTTGTTGCCCTTAGATCATTATCTTTCTCTCAGTCTTTTTCACATTTGAACATTTTTCATTTTACATTTACATTGTCAGATTTGAAAAAGCCTCGAAGTGCAAATCAACTTATTAGGGCGTACATGGTGGTTAGTTTAGAGGGGTGTGTGTCAAGTCGTGCGTCCGAGAGTGCGTGCGGCAAATCGCGCGGCGAAGTTCGTGGCGAATTTGGACGACTCCGGCGCCTATGATTGGGGCCCAAATCTGAAGTAAGGTAGATTAGTAAGGTCAGCTGATCCTACTATTCTACTGTACTTCGAAATTGGGCCCTAATAATAGGCGCTAAAGTCGTCAGAATAGTTATGGGTTTCGCCGCGCAATTTGCCGCGCGCACCCTCGGACGCACGACTTGACTGTCCCCCAGTTTAGAGCAAGGTTGATTGATACACGGCACCATCTTTTCAATGCATGTAGACATTAAGCAGAAACATCACTTTCTGATTTCGCTAATGAAATTGGTACTGTCAAAGAGAATCACGTTTTTAAGCAGACGCCTAGCGGCATGACACTGTAATGAATTCCACCATGACAGTGTAGCAAAGCCGAATTTTTCGCTTTTTTGCAATTGCGACATCAAATACGTACCACCTCTACAAATGCATCTTTTTATAAGGTGAAATTTGCTCGGACCTTGTTTTCAAAAAAAGGAAACAAGACAGTTGTTCTCATTGTTACTACATTCTGTCAACTAGATCTTATGCTTCTGTTCTCGTGAAGATCGCATTAAGCTTTATTAGCACTGTTTTCTCTAACTATTTTTTACTCTTTTGAAATGTTTTCGAAATACGTGTCCGGAAACTTGGTTAGCCACCCTTTTCCAATTAAGTACGGTGATTTTGTATGTTCAACACCACATTGTGTTTTGCAATAAAATAGTCGTATGATCGATCCAATGCAGAGGTAGCGTATTGCGAAGCGGACACGGTAAAACGAAGCGGGTTGAATCCTGAATCGAAACACGCTTCCACTCCTTCAGCTTTCTCAATCGATATCTTACAATTAGTCATCACCAACCGATTCTTCATATCCGCGGGCATCCTGCACAATGTACAGCGTGTGCCAAAATCATGTGTGCCTATTCATTGCTACATATTTTGAGCTCTAAGCAGTGAATTACAGCAGGATCTATACACATGTCTGCTTATATTATTTATTTGCGACAACGTGCTACAATCATATATCCCAATATCCGCCATTAGCACGGGTAGCGGTCCAAAGTCTCTTCTCGAACTAGTCGCACGTTGCAAACATCTCTCCTCCATTTCTTCCTAGACGTTCTTGAGCCTGCTACCCAAGGAGCTGCAATCCCAACTCCCTGCTTTTGAGAAGTTGGAATTGCAATCCAGCAGGCTCCCTCCTTATCAGGTGACATATAGACTCAAGTGAGGCGAGACCTGGAGAGCAGGATGACCATTTCCTTTCGCGTCGTCACCTTTCTTGTACGATCTTACTGTGTGGGTTGAAGTACCGTTTTAGAGAAAGGACCAGAAGCGGTTTCAGGAAGTAGAGTGAAAGCCTTAGTTCACGTTAAAAACGGTTTCTGAGATTACTCCCTGAACCTGTGACCCCTAACAATAGTCTAAGGACGGCTGGGAAGAAAAATTGTTAAGGTAGGTCGTGATCAAAATCCCAAAATTGGTTTAAACTTCGTATCACCCGAGTAGTTAAGCTGTAGAAGTAGCACTTTTCGCACCGGGACCAACACCTCGCAGGTAGGCAGCTTACCATAGCCACATCTATGACACAGCTCGTCCAAATACCCTTCGATGCAACTTTTTTCGCCGCATTCTCGTCCAACCCCTTAATTTTACTTCTTTTTTTAGAATTTACCGATTTTCGCGCTTCTTTCGCCTTTTTTGCTCAATTCTGGGCTATCACTTTCATTACTCCTCTCTAAAACTTGATGACCCATAAATATCGAGATTTGTGCCTTTAGATACCCATCAGTATTAATTTTCACGCCGACACCGGCGAACACAATCGTCTTACCATTGCCCCTAACTCCCTCAGAAAACGTCTTTTTGCGATCGAGTGAGTTAGCAGACTTTTTCATTTTTTGAACCTACGCGGATTTCTGCACAGGACAAGAACGACAATGAAGAGTTCGTTCGCCAGACAGTTGCACACTGTCAGCCCAATTTCGATGTGTCCTACTCCGTTCCCTTCCTTTGGTAGCTCAGCCAGGATAACGATCGACTCGCATGGTGTGCGAAAACGCCAAACCAAAAATTTGCAACCCTGTAAAGCCAAGAAAACAGCCAAGAAAAAAAGAAACATTCGAGGTTCTGGTGGCATACGTACGACGGCTCGCGCTTTATAATTGGCAATATGAACTCGCCGTTGCCGGGACGCATTGGCTATTACAGACGACCACAAGGATGGGCTACTTTCAAAACACTAGCAGCATTCCATTCGCTATGGCCCAACTGAGTTGCAGGAAATATACGGAAGACCGATTTGTTAGGTCACCTTGGTGAAGAAAACACCACTTCGGTAGTGAAAAAACATGAAAGATGGTTATCAAAGTTTGTTTTGTCCAATCGTCTTGAGGAACCGTCATTTAATGACTACGAGAAGCTAGCGCTCGGAGTTAAACGGTTGCGATACGCATGTTCAACGAGCCGAACAACCTCTTGGGCTAATTTTCGACCCTATCTTGTTCCTCGGTGTTCCCAACATGAATGAACAGTATGCCTCTATGTTTTTCTTCTCAAGGTTTAACTGTCTACGCATTCTTTCTACCGTCGCGTGAGTGTGAGTACGAGCGTAGTCATCTTACAAGAAAACATGGTTTCAATGCTATAGAAGTTCACTGTGACTCGGACTATTAATATAAATATTCATTTCACAGTCGTCTATTTCACAAATGTGCAACTTCGTAAGTGGTACTACATATCAACGAGGAGATCGAATGTTCACAAAAAANAAAAAACTTGGCCCACTTAAAACGAGGCGCCTTACGTCGGCAGACAGCATAGAAAATAATAAAAATCTGATGGGAAGACTCAACTAGTAACAATGTCAGACCATTCCCGCAAATATATTGCACGCATTGTAACCTTTGATGCCTAGCAGTAAGCCACTAAAGAAAAATTATTTTGTAAATTATACTCGTTGCAACACTGGAACGGCGATGGAATAGCTAACCATGGTTACAGCACTGAAACGGCGAAAGAAAATGGAAGCGCCACATTCTCGCACACAACCACTTGCTTAATGCTCTTTTGTTGCATACAGTTTACACTCTCTTGCTATAACCGTACTCGGTTTCGGTTAAGTGCTGTTGAAGAAAGGCACCCAGATAAAGAGGTAACGGCACGGTGGCAGCATGAAACAAGGAATGAGCATCGAAAATCCAGAGTATAGGAGCAAAATCTAGGGTTTCTAAAAGAATGGAACAGTTAGCCCAGACCATCATTCCTATTAGCATGCGATCTGATGATGACAATTGACGAAGTGTTCTCCATCGGCTAGCAATATATAGCATATACATCACTGTAGTGGCCATGGACACACCTATGCAACAGCGCATGTTGTAACCGTAGTCGAAGTGCTTCTAGAAAATCTTCCTACAATCGGGTTGAAGACGAATTCTTTCGGAAAGAGTACTGAATGAATGGCAGTGGTTGCAGCAGTGTAGTGACTAATGGGTATGAGACAGACAGCTTGCTATTAGCTTTGATCTGTTCTGTAAGCATGGACAGAAATAGCGACGAATATGTGCTGCAATCCACTCAATCACCACCACCTTCAATTAGATAAAAGGGATATACACCACTCGAGCTTGTCATTCGAGTTCGAGCCTATTCAAGTAGTGGCACTCTTTTATGGCGTAAGATCTCCGAAGCGCAGAAAGTCAGGCCAGAGTATACTCGAAAAAAAGCACAGTATATGCATCAATGAGTGGGGGCGGGGGGGAGGGGGCTCTCCAATGTAACCTACATTTTGGTGCATCTAGCCAATGCAGTAAGATCCCTCCCCGAAACTTGTGGATACTATATGTCTACCCCTATAATGCTGATTATTAGCTCTCCACGTCATCCCTTTCGAAGCTAATAGTTACTCAGTTTGTCATTTGTCTGGTATATAGAAGAGGACACTATCCTTGGGAAATATAGGATGGGGCTAATTCCATGGTCAAGACGCATGCTTGGGTGTTGCGAATTTATCGCAGAAATGATGAGGTCACGATATGAAAAGTAAAGGTGGCTGCGACACTGCTGGATTATTGTCTTGTTGATCCCTGCATCAGGCCCTGCATTTTTGGCATAGGCCTAGCACAAGAGCCAAATTGGTTCAAAACTCACTGCGTTTTTGATCGGCAGCTGGATGCATGCATCTAATAGAAGGAGTCGAGAACACTGCAATAGATGCTTCCAAGCTGTTTAGAGGTTTACATTTAAAGGAACGCAGGAAACATCCTTTCCGACTAGAGCTCAAAACGAAACGTCACGTGGACCAAGGAGAAAAAGAGTAGGGGAGGGAATTTTCTGTTAAAGAGGATCTTTTGGAATTCGAGTGAAATGGCAAACAGTAAGTCAGTCAAAATCATTGATAGTAAACGCTTCTACTCCATTTTTTTGACAGGAATAAGTGGATTAAACCACGCAACTTAATAGTACTACATTGCGGCACTCCTCAAAATTTAGCACTCACCATCATATGGTATATGTGTCTGGTAAACCATAATAACAATAACGATCCATAAATTGACGACCTGAACTCAGAAAGGTAAATACTAGTTTCGCCTGAATAACTGAAAGGAACATACATCCACCACATACGATACGTCGAGACGCCCATCCAAGAATAGGTGAAGCAAAATGAGACGTAAGATGCGCAAAGTATGAAGGCGAACGCCGAAAAGTAGTCCATGTACTCCGTCAACCAGCAATCTCTTGCGTGAAAAATTGCAGAACAAAGCCTTCAATCGGTATGTAATTCATACATTGAAAACGACGGACCGAAGTCCTTCTGACCCGTTCGCCTACAATCAGGCTCTTATAGGCCTAGCTAAAAATTACTATACCGACATACCAAGTTACCAGACCAGTGGTGGCGTACAGAGTCCAAACGCGATTACTGTTCAATTTATGCATTAACTTAATGCGAGAATAAAGGAGATAGAATGAATAGAAGTTCAGCAAGGAAAAAACAAACGAGGCTGGCTCCTGAAAAGCAAAATAAACCTTCCAACTCGGACCATTCGAATTTCACAGGCATATTTCCGTTTCAATGTTACCTTACCTGAATGACCAGATCTGCTACTCCTAAGAGAGAGATGTGCAAAGCGAGAAAGGGCCATTTCCCATGAAACTGTGGGACAAATCCATCATCCCTTTTGAAAATATCAACAGTGTTCCACATACAATCATAGCGGCAGCTAAACACACTATGACTACAAAAAGTTTGTTACTGCTCTGGACCTCAGTGTTGAACGCACCGAAAACATGGTCCATTTGACCAACCGCAGCTGTCAAAACGTTCTGGACAAGAAAACGATTTTCGACATTCTTCGGTACAAGAACGATAAGCCCATGAGGCATCTCCTATAGAGCTAGACACCTGGTATATCCCATAGCCGAAAAATAGCACATTAACTAACCAATTCATCCAGCGCTCAATTTCACCTTAAACAAACCTAATTATACATCTTAATCAGCTCGTAGCCCAACTACATAGAATTCTCCAACCAAGTTTAAGGAAAACAGAGAAGAACATGTACACTCGGCTCCCGTACACTATAGGATAGATTCAAAAGAAGCGTAAAAAGATATTTATTAGCCAAATTTCTTGATAACATTATCACAGAACATCTGTACAACTCATATATCTGAATTAATCTACTGTTATAAACTTTTTCAGAGTATACATATTGAAATGTAGTAAGATTCGGCAGCATTGCTACATAATAAGGATTACTTACCCGTCCTCGAACAATAGGTGAACAAAGATGAGGAAAGAACAACGAACAGAGCTTTCGTTACAATTACACAACAATTTGTCATTGACATGCGTATGGCTTGCGGAGATGAGCAAAATCATCCATCAAACAATAAAAGAGTTTTTACAGATTATCAGTCACATAGGCACGAGGAAATCACTGGTGCACCTGCCGGCTATAGGTTTAAATCCTAAGCAACTCATACAATCTGTATGCAAGCAGTTATAATACCATCTAGTACCGAGAAACTGCTTCATTATTTGAAAGACTGAATAGAATTTCTGAGGATGAGAGTCTAAACGTCTGACAACACACTGGGATGACTTATTCCGATGGTCAACACGTAGAAGATGGGCGGGACTGGGACAAATGCGAGCGACAGAAAGCTCACAACTGAGTCCCTGAAATAAGATTATTCAAGTGTAACTGCACATATAATGTAACGACGATTTTAGCCTTTGCTCATAAGTTGAGTGATTCTAACAGTATTCCTCCGCAGATAAATTGAAAACCAACATTTAAAAAGAAATTCTCTTGAAGGCTAATAGAGCAAACGCGAGATCATTTGCTCCCATTCAAAGCGCTACCACTCTGATTGTTGGACCGACGCGGGAGTCACTTCCTTTTCGTGACAAAGGCATTCGCAATGATCAATCGGAATCTTACATCTGCACACATACATACATAGAGACATACACACATACATACCTTCATACATACGCAAAATTACATAGACACGCAATCACACATGAAAAAATGTCAAGAGCGGCTGAATTGCCACACTTACAGAGTTACACAGATCGTTGTCCCTTGGGTGAATCTCATAGTACAAGGACGTGTGGCCCTTTGACCTCAACTAACTCACATCTGGGTGGTCGGATGTGAGTTAGTTGAGGGGATGGGAATGAGCAACACCGAGCGCACAATGATGATGCAAAAAAGGTTGGAGAAAGGGAAGGCATGTCTCTTATACTTAAATCTTCAAGTGAGAAATAGGAAGTAAGAAGAAGGTCGTAAGCTTGATGGACGTGGTCCGAACTGTGATGAGAAAACATTGTGAAGGGGGTTCGGGTACTCTGGATTCCTAGAGCAGTTCCGAAATCCTCTAGACAGGGCAAGTATTCTCAGATATACGTCGAAGTAAAAAAAATTCAAATTTAGTATTGTATTTAAAATGGGTTTGGAAACTTACTAACGTTGAAAACCAGTCGTGAGACTACCCATTATTTGGCTATCTACGCAGTTCACCTTTCCTAACGACCCCCACATTGAAGAGGACGCTGATATGCAGCACAAATTAGTTCAACAAGCAAGCAAGGTTGCAAATGAGCACAGATGGAGAACTGAGAAAAAACAGCAAGAAAAGCGGCGGGGAAACTACTCCAGAGAGGCTTTACAAAGAAATACGATCATAAAAGGCAGACCAAAAGTAAAGAATTAATATAAAGGCTCAACTTAAGTAAAAGTCTCGTCTTGTATGTGGAATATAGCCGATTTATGAACTTTTAGTTCGATTACAAGAATCATAGTGTCAACCAAAGTTGGCGGGTTATGGACAAAACTTTGTCCTTGAGCGAGGCTCCAACCCGCACTTGTTCTCTCTGGTCTCGGTGCTCTTATCCCTTACGCTACCGAGGTTGTGTGCTCGTTCCTTTTTGAAGGCAGAGTTAGAATACTTTTAGGGTATGGTTCCAGACGAATAATGGAAGTGTTAGTCTAGAACAGCGGAAGAAAGGAGAAGAAAACGCTAAAGCAGTAGAGAAAAATAAGGCTTCGGAAAAAGTACTAAAATAAACGGTTGGACGAGAGTGCAACAACGAGCGTGGATGAGGTATTTAGAAAAGTTGCTCGAATGCGCCCGCCTGTGCATACAGTTGGCTGCAGTAAGCTGCCCGCGGGCAAGGTGTTAGTCCCGGTGCAAATGGTGCAATCTCTACATCCTCTGCAACAATTAAGGTCTCGTTCACCTTGGGAGTGTACGTCGGCTAAGCCGTTTTTGAGACCCTTACTACGCACTATCACGGCCCGTCAATGTTGCTTGGAAGTAACAGGTTCGACTTAGGGAGAAATCTCAGAAACAGTTTCTATCGCGAACTCTGCCTTTAATTGCTTACATGCCGTAGCTTATCAGCGTCACACTTTCAACAAAATCGATCCGCAAGTCTCATGAGGTTGGGATCGCGGAGATCGCGTAGTGCGGACGAATAGTGCATTAACATTAACAAAACATCGAATCAAAACAACGGTGCTATAATGAATGTCTGCTTATAAGTAACCAATAGCAAAATCATGAAAATAATAGCAACTCACTTCTGTGCCGAGATGGCCAGCAGAGAAAAAGCCAAAAGGGTCATGTTGACTGCGAGCATCACCATATGCATCGGCGAGGTGCAAACCACTTCTTAAAGTGAACAAGTTTTGAGTAAAGTAAGGGCTCAGCCGTGCATAGGCATTTGAGTGAAGGCGCGAACCCAAAGCTCACCAATGTCTTAGGCAGTATAAGAGAATGGTAAACTTTGTAAGTGTGATTATCAAGGATAAAGTGCAAAATAGTAAAATACATTACATATCGCATATATGGGAAGAAGAAGAAGCAATTTGGATATTGTCCCGAAACATACTGTGACCTCGTGAAACTCCCTCGTTTACCTTTGATTAAGACAGAGAGTAGGAATTAACCCATTGACGACCATGCGGTCCACATGTGGACTGCACTTTTTCGGCCTTGTGGGACCATGCATTCCACATATAGACTGCAGTTGTATTCCTTTGTTTTATTAATCTATATTTCCATTTTTTTATAATTTTCCTTCTCAAAACATAACATCAGGCCTAAATGAAACTACACACAACGTGGTCCTGGGAAATCTTCTAATTTTACAATTGTAAAGGTGTTTTTTCGAAGGAGTACATTACCTTGGTGAATTCTTCGTTCGTTGAACAACTT